AAAATAGGGTCACCGAGAATTCAACAAATCTGCAATATTTATTTTATTTGTGACATGGTTATATAATAATATGAGGCTTGTTATAACTTCTATATAAAGATAACACTTACAAGGAAATCGTAATTTTACACATTTCAAATTTTCTTAAAATTTGATGACATTGGTATAGAATTGATAATCGAATAAATAGACGCATGAATGCCCTAAAACAGTGGCCAGGGTAAGTTACTCCTAAAAGTCTAAAAATGGACTTTCTGGTGGTAAAAAGTATGTATTTTTAATTGATATTTACTGTATTTGCTACGTAGTTGTCGTATGGGAGTAAATCTCTCTTTGCCATGGGCGTAATATCAACTTACAAAAATATTTCGGGGTAATGATTGAAAAAGTTTCCCGACCGCTGCCCTAAAATATTGGGTGTTAAAAATTTGAAATAAGGATGACTATCTTTCATCTCAAAAGGGACTATTTTCCTGTTATTTTATTTTACAGTTGTGAATATGCAACTATGATGATATTCATAATTATCATATCTTTCATCATTTTCAGTTGCATTTTGCAAATGGGAATTTCCGTAATCGCTGCGTACATAGTAGTTGACATACTTTTGACCTCTTTACGACATTTTAAATTGTATGGCTGCGTGTCAAGATTTTGTTTATATTTAGCATAATGCACTTTCTTTATTTATATATATATATATATATATATATATATATAAGTGGTCCTTAATATGGACATTTTCGAGTTTTTTTGCTCCCAAGGGCTCAAATGGTTCCAAATTGATAAAAAAACAATTCTCTGAAAGTTTTAGCTATCAATATTGTCTTTTAGATAAAGCGCAATTCAATCAAAGTTTTGTTAGGAAATATCATGAAAACAGCGTGCTTTGCTGAGCGTCGAATTTTCAATAAAAATGACACAATTTTTCACTTTTAATACATTTGTCGCTAAGTTATACCTACAATTTTTTTTTAAGTTTCAAAATTTTTTGCATGCTATTTTCATACGAAGTTTTATTGAATTGCGCACTATCTAAAAGTTAATATTAAGAGCTAAAACTTTCAGAGAATAGTTTATCAATTTGGAACCATTTGAGCCCTTGGGAAGGAAGAAAATTCGAAAATGTCCATATTAAGGACCACTCTATTATATATATATATATATATATATATATATATATATATATATGTATATATGTATTAGATTTTTTGTGTATTTTTAATACTTCGTTTTTTTGGTTTGTTTTTTTTCCATTACCGTTTCACCTTTCTTCCAACCAGCTAATATTTTCCAGTATTTGATCCTGGATAAGCATTTGTGAACCCTTCCGTTTCTATTTGTCGTTGTTTTTGCACTTTGCTTTGCATTCACAATTTGTTAATCATATTTTATTTTATTGGTTTATTTTTTTATTAAACAATGCCTACTAGGGCACTTGGACACGCTTTGCTGTGGTTCATAAAAGCTGGTAAATATAACGGAATAATCTTATCCGAAAATAAATTTGCGAAACGGTTTTAGAAAAATCTAGCTCTGTTCTATGTGTTCATAAAACAAATGATTCATATTTATTGCGAATCAGCAATTATTTGCCATGTGCAAATATTAGCACGCACGACAAACAGACCATCTAGTTATTGAGATAAGCACCAGATAAGCAAATATATATTATATGCAAAATCATTTTGTTGCATTGTGATGAGTTGTCAATAAATTTATTTGGTGACAAACTGCAATATAGTTTCCGATAAAAATATCTATTTTATTTAATCCGATTCATTTTGTCATCATTTATTCTTCAGCTATTACTTTTCATGTCTAAGCTTACGAGGTTTTTTTTTTGGCTTCCTTAGAGTCCATGTCTGTGATCTGTAGAGGACTATGCTCTACAGATGACAGATATCTGATATTTGTCATTTTATATAGAATTTGTTTACTTGCCAGTGGAGATTGCATTTTTAAACATTTTTAAGTAGCATACCTCAGAAAAAATAGATGTACGTGTGTGTGTGTATGTATGGATACAATTTTTCGTTCACGTTTTCGGGCGCGCGGATCAACCGATTTGAATGGTTTAGAAAACATGCGATCCCTATTGATAGGGAGATGTGCTGATTAGTTTTTGGCAAAGGCAGGTCTAGCAGTTACGGAGAATAAGAGCAAAGAGTGCAGAAAATACAAATCGAGTTTTTGAGAGAACAGAGTATCGGATTTGAATGATCTAAAAAACATTCAATTTGTAATGATTGGAAGACCAGGTTTTGGCAAAGACAGGTCTTAAGGCACGATGCCATATACAACTAGTTATGTCTTATTGTTTTATCTCACGTCAAGATTCTTTAAATTATTTTATTAAATATTCAAGTGTCCACATTGTCACTTGTATCACATCGTTGAATGCTACTTTAATTTTTTTTCTTGCGATTCATACCAATTGTTCCATTGTTGACTCGAGAGACACTCATTCACACGAATGGGGGGCTCCATTGACAAAGTTCAAAATTTAAAGATTATAAAATTATTTCATTGTTGGTGATGAATTGTTTGCTCTGTTGTTGACTCACAGATGTTGATATTTATGGAATCATAGTTTTGTTACTATGCTAAGAATAAATAATCCAATACCAAATAAGAATAAAATAATTACAATTCTATATTTAGATCAGAGACATAGACAATGAGAAAAACAGAACCGAAGAAATGGAAGGTAGAATAGACCGAAAAAAAAGATGTATGGCATCGTGCCTTAAGGCAATTTCCTGGAACTTCCCGCACCGTTATGAAATATTTGAGAAATTTTAAACGTTTTCAAATATATTATTACAAATACTGTAACTTTCATTATTTTTGCTATCTTATTGTTATATCTGAGCAAATCAAATGTAAATCATAAATCAATTCCTTTCAATCTCCAGAACATTAACAATCGTCATTTCATTTCGAATTCAATTTCAAAAAAAAAAATAGTTGCCTAATTTACACAAAATTGAAAAAGTGCTCCCGTATTGTCACGGTAATAGGGATCGAATATTTGCTTGCTTTTATCTAATACTATTCAATTATTCATACAATGTAATTTCCCATAATCTCTTCTAATTCAGCATGTGTTTATTGAAGGAGATCAATCAAAATCGATCGGGGTCGATCAAATATGTAGATAAATCGATATTAAAATCATAAACTTATGATTTATACGTTTCGATAAACATTTAAACAGATAATACCATTTCAAGAGACGAAAAAACGTTCAATATGTCACGTATTTGGAAAAATTGACATCACACGTGCAAGATTTCTTATAAATCCAGTTTACCTAATCATAGTAATCGATGGTAATTAATTACTGGAAATATTTGACAGAACTTTACATAGAATTATTATTTTTATTGGCATATTATTATTTATTTGCAATTGGAAATTAACTTATTATTACATAGTGGGGTAATGGGACAACTTGACATTTTGACTTGAAAATATAGATCAAAAATTTGTTTCCAATTGAAATTAGTCATTTTTCCAGCACTGTGGTGTGAAATGGCAATGAGAAATTTTACACTTTTTCCCTGAATGGATTTGGAGTTTATATATTAGGGTTGTACTTACTATGAATATTTTAGAATTTCTTTGTTCCCATAGACTCAAATGCTTCCAAAATTATTAAAAAAAATCTCTGAAAATTTTAACTCTTAAAATTAACTTTAAGATAGTTCGAACTCCAACTAAAGTATTTTTTTTTATTTATGATTAAAATAAGCAAATACAATGTTATTCTCAAAATTTTGATTCACTTGTTGCTAAGTTATAAAATTCTAAAAAACAAATGTATTTTACCCATGTTATTACACATTGACTATCTTAATGTTTATATTAAGAGCTAAAACTTTCAGAGATTTTTTTCATCTGTTTGGAAGAATTTGATCCCCTGGGAGCAACAAAATTCGAAAATTCCATATTAAGAACCACCCTAATATATATAATTAATTATTCAATATATTATTTTCTAATAGTTCATAATTTTCTCACAGATTTCAGTGAAAAGCCTCAATTCTCGAATTATGTCTCTTAATAATATATTGGTCTTCTCTTTCTGTTTCCCTATTTTTCTGTCTCTTTCCCTATTTTTCTGTTCCTTTCCCTATTTTTTGTCGCTTTCCTTATTCTCCTCTGTCTCTTTCTCTTTTTCTCTATCTCTTTCTCTTTTTTCTCTATCTCTTTCTCTTTTTTTCTATCTCTTTCTCTCTCCCTCTGTCTCATTTCCTATTTCTCCGTGTTTTTCTCTCTTCCTCGATCTTTCCCCTATTTTCTGTCTTTCCCCTATTTTTTATGTCTTTTCTCTCTATTTTTTTGTCTTTTTTCTATTTTTTTATGTCTTTTCTCTATTTTTTTATGTCTTTTCTCTATTTTTTTATGTCTTTCCTTATTTTTTCTTCTCTTTCCCTTATTTTTTTGGTCTCTATTCCTATTTTTCTGTCTCTATTCCTTTTTTTCTGTGCTCTTTGCCTAATTTTATTTGTCTTTTCCTTAATTTTTTCTTGTCTTTCCCTAATTTTTTTGCCTCTTCCTCTTTTTCTGTCTCTATTCCTATTTTTCTGTCTCTATTCCTATTTTTCTGTCTCTTTCCCTTATTTTTCTGTCTCTATTCCTATTTTTCTGTCTCTTTTCCTTATTTTTCTGTCTCTATTCCTATTTTTCTGTCTCTTTCCCTTATTTTTCTGTTTCTTTCCCTAATTTTTTTGTCTTTTTCCCTAATTTTTTTGTCTCTTTCCCTAATTTTTCTGTTTTTCCCTATTTTTCTGTCTCTGTCCCTCTTTCTTTCTTTTCCTATTCCTTTCTCTTTTTCTCATACTCTCTTTCTTTCCCTCTTCCTTTCTCTCTCTTTTTCTCATACTCTCTCTCATCCTCTCTCTCTCTCTATATATATATATATATATATATATATATATATATATATTAATCAATATAAAATTTTCACCACTCCATTATCCTTTTCCCCACAGGTTCGAGTACAAAAGCCTCGATCCCCGAAGAATGGATCGACATGACAGCCCAGTGCACGAGGAGCATGAGGAACCAGATCCAAGAAGAACTGAGCGCTTCGATGCAATACTTGGCCATGGGGGCGCATTTCTCAAGAGACACTGTCAACAGGCCAGGATTTGCTGAGATGTTCTTCAAATCGGCAAGCGAAGAGAGGGAACATGCCATGAAACTCATGTCTTACTTGATGATGAGAGGAGAACTGACCGAGAGGCTGCAGGACTTGATCAGAACACCAGTAAGGATAATGGATAATTGATAATGGATATATATATATATATATATATATATATATATATATACTAGCAAACCCGACGAACTCCGTTTCGCGACCAGATGGTTTCGTGAGAAAGATGAAGAAATTTTTTGTTTGTTTTATATTTGAAAAGGAAAAATTTGATTTTATTACACAACAGTAATGAATTTATTTCGATTACAAAAATGAAGTGTTTTTTAGTTGAACTTCTCCAAGTAAATGAAAGTGAATCCGAAAAATTATCCGTTTCATTGAAGTGCTCTTTGGTAAACCACATTTTTTGTTTTTTGGTCTGACGTTAACACAAACAAAGCGAATGGTTTTCCAACTCGTGAACAGGCAACGTATAACTGCCCATGTAAAAAACAATGATTTTCTAAATAATCTATTTGATATTTATCCCGCAAACACTAAGCGAATGGCCTTGCGACTTGTTATTGCGAACGCAAGGCAAACTGGAAATTGCAATCGTTTGAAGTCAAACGGAAGACCAGTCGGAATCATTGGTATGTCACCAAATCGCCAGCAATTATTGATTAAATGATGAAATTCAGTGCGTGTACATCATTATTCTTTGCGGCAAGAATTGCTCGTTGACCTAACCAAGCATAATTCTGATAATTCTCACTAATGTCATTACTCGAATTTTTAATTACGATGCCATGCACGACTAATTTTCTTAGCTATAAACCTTGCGGAGCCCGAGACCTTTCCAAATAATGCAAAATTGTCGAAATCGGTTCGTGCGTTCTGGAGTTATTTCGTCAGGAAGGAAAACCCGACTTATTTTTATATATATAGAAGATATATATATATATATATATATATATATATATATATATATATATATGGTGTATTTTTAAATATTAATATGTAAATGATGTTTTTGCTTTAGACTGTTCCAATCACGACTTGGGCTGATGGTTTGAGTGCTTTGAAAGATGCTCTGAAATTGGAGGCTTCCGTTACCAAGAAGATTAAACATGTGATCAAAGCTTGCGAGAACGATAATGGAGCTAATGATTATCATGTAAGTAAAAAATGTGCAATAACTAGATGTAAGTAACTTTATGCCTTAAGGGGCACAACTAGTGTAACCGCCTAAAAAAAAGGTGATTTTTGGGAATTTATATTGAAAAAAATACTTTATCAATCATTTCAAAATTTCAAGAATATATTTACACATGTTTTAAGAATACATAGTAAAATTTTTGAAGAAAAAAATAAATATTTTTTAATTCAATTTTAAAGGTATAACCTATCAAAATATGGAAAAATTGAAAATTCGGTTTTTTGAAAATTTCACACTAGTTGTGCCCCTTTCAACCGAAATTGAGATTCAGCTATTTAGATCAAATTTTTAACTATTAATTTCGAAAATAAAGTCTTTGCTTTCACTTAAATCTAAATATTGCGATTTAAAATTGATATTTTTTGTACACGTTTATAATGTTTATAATTATACTAGCTGACCCGGCAAACGTGATTTTGCTAAGTAAGGTATATTCTAAACAATTACCAGAGAATCAAAAATATTCATACTTTAAGTGTATAAGGATGTGTTGTTTGAATGCTATATACAATGAGGTATTATAAAAACAATAAACCCCATTAGTTTGTCTATATTTTGTCAATACAATCAAACTGCAAGTTTTATACACCTTCTAAAGAAAACATGGTATAAGCCAATCCAAGTCTTTTTTGTCTTTCGACTTATTGATTACATTTCAAGTCTTTCAGATTCTTTTTGGATTCTGGATTTTGTGTATATATATATATAATATAATATTTTGTGTATATAAATATAATATAATAATTATAAAAAAATTTCAATGTTTTGCGAAGAGAGATAGTAAATGAATTGAATATTTCTTCTTTAAGCCTGCTTTTTGAAAAGTTTCAAGTATCATTCGATGAATTAAAGTAAATTTAATAAAAAGTTTATATGTGGAGCAGGGCGAGGCACAAAGGTCCAAATTGACTTTGAGCAAATATAAACTATATTATGAAAACCAAACCAATTATATCACAACAAATAACACATTTCAATCAAACAATTATCTGACTACGTTCAGTAAAACTCTAGCTACTTCATCATTGTACAAATGTGCTTTTTTGCTGTCTTTCAAAAATTGGTTATCTAGACCTTTTTACCTTATAGGCGGGGTAACTAGGAACGGCCATGTGGCAAACAGATTTAATGTCTTATTTTAATTTTAGAGGTATTTTACAAAATAATTACATTTTTAGCTAATGCTAAAAAACTACCAACGGAAGAAAATACTTTTATTATGGATTTTCAAAGATTACCGTCTATCTCTCGATAGCAAAGTCATGAGAATCAAGGTTATAGCTGGTTATACATCTTTTTCCCTCTACTTTCAAATATTGTTGTTAAACCTTCATATATTACTATCTATTCTTTGTTAAATTCTGGGAAATTATAACTGGGGAAATGTTATTCGACAAAATGTCCCTTCTAAATCTAATAAGAATGCTATGAGAATCTAGTCAGGATCTCACAAGGAAATAATTAGAATCTGATAATGTTCTAGTAAGAATATCATGATTGTTAAGACTCCTTAGATTTCGATTTGAATCCGGTCAGAATCTTGTAAGAAATATTAGTCGTAAAAGAATCTAAGCATCTTGTAAATAAGATCTCATTAGAATTAACAAATTAACAAATTTAGATGTACCAATAAGGATCTTATAACAATCTACTTCAGTAAGAATATGGTTACAATATAAACATTTTTTTAAGTTATGACAGTCTTATAAAAGCATTTACTTCTTCTTTAAGAAGTTCACATTAAATATTTGCTAGATAATTATATTTTATCTCTTTTTCTCTAGTTGGTTGACTACCTGACCGGTGAATTCTTAGAAGAGCAATACTCTGGTCAACGTGACCTGGCCGGAAAGATCTCCACCCTGGGCAAGATGATGAACCAACAAGGTGTTCTCGGAGAGTTCTTGTTTGACAAGAAACTCTTGGGTTAAATGAAACATAACATCACCATCAAATATACACAGTAATAAAATAAATATAAATATAAACTAGGATTATATATATAAAATAGATTTTATTAAATACAATGATGTTAATAAGAGATTTTGATGTAATATTTTTATAAATGTTTGCTGATTTTTATTTGTTTATATTCCTAATGTTTGTTATTTGTACAGTTTTTTATGGTTTTACAAAAAGTGTTTTTGGTAAGGTGATCCCGCTGTTAGAGTGTGATGTAAAAATAAGATAATAATAAAAGTAATATTATTGTATATAATAATGTGTTTGATTTATAATGTATATATATATATATATTATATATATATATATATATATATATATATATTAAAGAAGTTAGTTTTGATGTTGAGAAATATGAGTAAGTTCTTCAAGGGCATACATCAAATAAAAGGCAAAGATTTAGAAGTTAATCTTATCGATATATATATATATATATATATATATATATATATATATATATATGACGTATGGATAAATAAAGTATTTCAAAACTACTTTAGTTTTTTTTCTTTACTTGGTGTTACTGCCCGATTCTAAATAACTCATCAAAATATATTATCAACACCAAACTCACATATTTCAATATATATATATATATATATATATATATATATATATATATCCAAAGATTAGTTTTCATTTCACATTAATAGCACATTTATCTTAAAATTTTAGGGGACCCCAATGTGCAATTTTATGCATTTTATTTTATTTTGTAAGAATTTTTACCTTAACAAAAGAAATTCTTATGTGGGGTCTCACCAGAGCACTCTACAATTCTGATAAATGTATTCTTATTTTAAAATAAAGCATAAATAAAAACAATTAATTTATTGAGAAGAAATTCATATAGTTACATGTTAAACAAATAAGAAAAGTTGCAACATTACATTAGCTTAATAAAATTTCAAATATTATATATAATAACATCATAAAAAGCTTGATTGTATTATATATTGAATGCCAGAATGAAAAACACATCTATGAAAAACTTTTGATGACACATAAATCAAAAGATTTATTTAGTAAAGTGAAACTTTACGTAATGAACTGGAAAGTGGAATATCTAAAAACAATTTTTGCATAAATTTATATGAATATATAAATATAGTTTCACCAAATGACAAAATGTATCATTATATATATGAGATTATTTTTATTAATTATATTTTTGCATTTTAACTTATATAATGACAAAATATGATCTACATATTTATAAAATCTGTGAATATATATTTTGAAGTAAAATATATATATATATATATACATATATATAAATATAATTCCTTTGTTACCAAGGAATGTTTCATTCACCTCTTGAGATATCTGAATTCTTTTAAGATTATTTATAAGTATTGATAACAACTAAATACATTTCAATACTTTGTGTTCGATAAGGAAATATTATAGATAACAAATAAACACTCTAGTATTTAAATGATAAGAAGGATTAAGTGCTTATTCAGATAAAAATTTAAAACATATCACATATTGATGGATTTGATAAAATTCAAATTTGGTGCGAAACACGAACAGTGACGCCATCTTGTTTTCTGTTTACATGAATTGTTTATTGATTTGAAACTGTTAAATTAACGTAAATCATGTTTTAAGCAGTTATATCGTAACAATCTTATATAATATATGTTAAAATATTTTAATGTAAAATCATTAAATAAAATCCGCAGTGGCATTTAAGTTCTTTCATAAACAAACAGAATTTCACATTTGAAAATCCATTACTTGACAGTTGAAGTAAACATGTCAAGCGATGTTTAACAACAAATATATATTTATTTTATGTAAAACCTGAAGGAATTAGGTTTAATTCAGTGTATATACATAAGCAATCGTTCGAGAAGTTATTTAATAATTTAAATTCTATTAAATAATAATTTAAAAGTGTTCTCTTAGTTTTTCAAATGATTCTAAACATACATAACCTAAATTGGACAAATCTTTTGATATTTCGTTAAAATTAATAATTTATAAATAAAACCTTTAATGAGATTTAAATCCAGTGTTGCAAAAGTGATTTAATAATTTAATAAAGTAATGTAAATTACTTCAAACTAATTTAAAAGTGCTTTCTAGTTTTGTATACAAACATAACCTCAATTTCTATATATATTTTGATTGTAGTTAAACTTAAAGTTACAATTGCATTTGTTATGTATTTTTAAAGTATCCATAGTGTTGATAATATTAATAATGATGTAAAAATGTCTCAAAATAAGTGCGTCATAAAACCAATAATATTACAAAACAGTGCTGAGCTTGCAGGTACATTTGTCGAATACTTTTATATATATATATATATATATATATATATATATATATATACATCATTTACTGCATATTACAAATTCCATTATTAATAATTTCTATTTTTATGCTTAGATGATACAGAAAGCGATGATGACTTCGAAATACCTGAGAACATTCCAAATATCCATAACGCTTGCAATAAGTGCAAAAAGACCTTCAGTTCTGCTGCGTCTTTGAAGCGACATGAAAGAGATGTTCATGATTCCCAAAATGCTGTTAAGATGCCTTGTGATAAATGCGGTAAGATAATAATAGACTTAGGAGAGAAATTAATTAAGAATTTGATGATAGATGATGTATTTCTTCAATTAATTCTAGAATTAAATCATTTATTTATTTTAAGTTAGTTTATTAATATATATAAATATTCTGATAGTCAATAAGAATAGTAAGATATTTTTTCTGAATCAAATATTAATCAAATTTATTGCTGTACTGTGTTATTATTATTTTTAATCCTTTATTACATTATTTATTATATATATTTTAATAGCCAAGTTAAGATATTAATTACAATAATGTTATATTTCTCCATATAATCCATTTATTATTTATTTTCTTTTGCAGAAAAGTCTTTCAAAACCAAGTACACGTTGCAGCAACATTTATTAACACATGATACCAAAAAAAGTTACACTTGTACGACTTGTCTAAAAGGCTTCAAATTAAAAAGTTCCCTCAATTCTCATCTGAAAATTCATAAAAAATGAGAAGTCTTGCTGTACAGTTTGTGGAAGCATGGTTACAAGATTAGGTAAGTGAATTACTTATGCGATTTAGGGATTAAATTTATTTATTATTATTTTTTTTTTATGCGTTCAATATTTTATTAATTATTCAGTAACAAACTAAATTACACATCAATGTTATTCTTACAATACAGTTCAAAATTTTTTTTATGGGGATCCTTCAAGAATCGTACAAGTCCCTTTAGTAAATAATGGATTTGTTTTTTTTCTGAAAATATTTCATCCAGAATAGCAATTAATTTATTGTAGTTTTTATCCATCTGATACGCATTTATGGCTATTAAAAATTTATTATAAGACTCCAGGGTTAAATTTTCTTTCAGCAAAATTAAGTACTCATGCCTATTTTCTGGAAGAGGTTTTGCAATCAGGCTTTTACACTTTGATCCTTCTGTCATTGTTGACAGCGTAGTCTCTTTTATGCAATTCTGATCATATGAAGACGTTTGAAGTATTTTCAATTTTCTTTTTTTATGTGGTTGTTTTACGACATCATCAGAGTCGCCTGATGAAATACTACATGTTGCACTGGATACATCGTTGAAATCTATAGTTTTACTCTCCTCTCCAAGTCCGTCTATCAAGCTAGTTGATTGGTTTGTCTGTAGTTTTGACTTTGGTACATACTTATATTCTGCCATAGAAGACCAGCTTACAGCTTCATTTACTTTTTCTATATTTTTCAAACTAAAACTGGGTCTCAACTTTGAATCATCAATCACAGTATTTATGGTCTTCGTAAAAGCTGGCTTGGTATTCGTCGTTAAATCTATAATGTCAGTCTTTAAATTTGAATCGGAAACAATTTCATCATCTTTTGACAAAGGTTTTAAACTCGGCAGGGGCAAAGTTCTTTCTGCATTTCTAAAAAACATGCGTAGATCTCCAATTACGCGGCCGTATTTATCATTACATTTGATGTATCCTTGAATCCATTTAGACAGTTGATTTCTCAGAGAAGGATTTTGAAATCTTGTGTCACATAATAATATAGCTCCATAATCATTTTTGTGGCGAATAACTCGTCCTATAGCTTGATTGACGGCTCTTATGGCCTCAAGTCTATACCACTCATCTCCAGACAGAAACTCGTTTGAACTAGTCCTGTTTTCTTGCAAGTATTTTTTCTTAAGTATTACTTTATTGTCTCTGAGTGGTGGAAAGGGAAGGCCAGTAATTACAACAGCCCTACCATTCATGTCAGCAAAATCCAAACCTTCCGATACCTTTCCCCTGCATACGGCCATGAATATTGCTCCATTTTCTGTTGCATCATTAATACGGTTGTAAAATTCTGTCATTACCGTGGAAAATGCGTCTTTACTACGTGGTTCAACAAAAATGGTCTTTTTTCTATTCATCTGTTGCCAAAGTCCGCTGCATTGCCAGGATTCTTGGCACTTGTTCATAACTGGGTAAGAAGGAAAAAATACCAGCAAGCCATTTGGCACAACTGAACACAAAGATAATATTGTGCAACCAAGCGATTGAATATATTTTGGATTATTTCTATTCTCATAGCTTGAATTCAGCACCTGATTGTCAGAACCATTGGGATTATTTGAACACATATTTGAGATGCACTCACCACATGTGGATTTTCTAACTGAACGGAAACTGGTATTCCTAACTCAATTAATAATGGTTTAAGCGGAGCGAGAGTTCCACTAGTTAGAATTATAGAATGCACATTTTTATCCACTAACTGCTTCATGCCAAAACTTGGACTGAAACACCAATAACTTAAAACTTTCACAGCTGTCTTTTCCTTGGTTTTAGCACTAAGCCAATTATTTTGTGCAGCTTTATATCCTTTATTATGGTCAGCTTCAATAGCTATATGTACCTTAAAACATTTTTTAACTTGCTCTTCTTGCTCTTCGTTCGATGTAGAAAAGGTTATTTGGAGCAAATCAACAATTTTTTGTAAACCTTCTCCTTTGTGAGAGAAGCTGGAGTTTGTCAAGGTATTTAAAAATTGGAGCAATGAATCTATTATTCCAGTAACAGACCTATAGTTCAGTTTCGTTATATTCGCTTCAGATAGAAAATCAAATATAAAGGCACCGGGATAAGTTGATCCTTCTTCTTCGCTTGTGACTTTAATATTCTGAAATGCCTTCTCAAGTGCTAGTAAATATTCCTTCAAGTCAGCTAAATCTTCTGCTGTAAAATCTTTAGGTTGACTATCCCCTACATTTTCAAAATCAGCAGTTTCAACCATATGCTTCATAATTCTTGTAACTTCATCAATAGCTACAGCGAGGTCAGTATTCTTAATTTGTATTGATACTGACTCTTCACATGTCTTCTCAACATTATGAGCTTCATCTAATATTATAACAGTATTGGTTAGATCTATCTTGTTAGCCGTTCTAGCCTTGGGATCTAGTAGATAATTGTAGGGCATAAAAGTTATATCAGCCGCTTGATGCATAGATTTGCTTAGATAATACGGACAAGCTTTTATTTTTTTTCCAACCTTTACAAGATCTTCAATATCTAAGACAGAGTTTTCCTGCACCAATGGATGCTCCCGTTTATTGTCGATATTTAAATAGAAAGAACAAGTGCGGGAAAGAACCTTATGCTGACACATATGAATCTTATTAGCATTACTTTCCTCTTTCATTACTTCTGGATTAATACACATCTGATCTCTAGATCCCATAACAGCAGCTTTTAAAAATTTATAATGCGTTCGCTTCAATTCCTGAATAGCCTGATTTAGTTGCGAATGAGTTCTAGAAGCATATATGACATGAGGCACACTCCATGAAACATTATCCAGTGCTGCGGCAGGATCAAGGGAATCATTATTTCGTATCAACGAATGCAATTTTACTTTATTCATGCCTTTTTCTGTTGAAACATGTTGGTCCTGTATTTTATTTATTTGTGCCTGTTGTTTTTTCACCATCAACCAACCAAGTGTAGAACAAAGCAAACTTAGAGTCTTTCCAGTGCCTGTAGGAGATTCTAAAACTCCATTAGAACCATTTTGCAAACATTCTATAACTTTTTCCATGTAAACTTTTTGCAAATCATATGGCTCGAAAGGAAAATGTACAAGTACATCGCGTATATTGATCTCGACCATGGTTATTAAGTGAAAAAAGTTAATATTAAAAACAAATATTTAGATAATTATGTTATATATAACCTATTAAAATTCCATTTTGAATGATAAAACTGAACTGCTAATATCCTGCATATGCTAAATATTATACATAATCATCTACCAGCATATAACTTTTAATTTATTGTAAAAATTTAATTAAGGCACACTATTTCATCTAGATTAAAATCAAAACCCTGCTGCTAATATAATATAATATATATAATATATATAACTGTCAAAATATATAACTGTCAAATATGTATAACTGTCAACGTGCGGCCTGTGGTGATTATTTAATGAAATTTAATTTAATTTAATGAAAGGCAAATTGCTGGCACTTCCAGAATTAAAAATAAAATCTGAATTATTTTCGATATACGAAAAAAAAACTAAAAAAAAAAATGATACAATTTTTAACTTCCCGTAGGGCAAGTTATAGTAATCGCAAAAAAATCGAAAATGAAAATTTTTATATATCTTTACGTTTCAGAGGTTTCTTAACATTTTGGGATACCTTAGAAAAAATGGATGTATGTGTGTGTGTGTATGTATGTATGTATGTATGTATGTACATGTGTGTACGTATGTGCGGATACAAATTTTCGTCGACGATTTCGGGAACACGGATCAACCGATTTGAATAATTCAAAAAACATTCGATTCGTATTGATAAGGAGACGTGCTGATTAGTTTTTGGCGAAGGCAGGTCTAGCCGTTCCGAAGATACGGGGCAAAAAGTGCCGAAAACGGTAACTCAGTTTTTAAGAGAACGGAGCGTCCGATTTTAATAATTCAAAAAACGTTTTACTTGTATTGACAAGATGAAGAATTGATCAAATTTTCATGAGGGCAGGTCTAGCGGAAAAAAAATGCCCTTTGGCGGTCAAAAATGATCATTAGACATATGCACATCAAATTATCAGATATTTTATAGAGATTTTAACAATAAGTATAAATTTTGTTTGCATTCCTATGGGTTCCGTACTAATGTTTATTTGTTAGACGGCGACGCGGCGCTTACGCGCTTTTACATTTTATCTCTATGCAGTTAAAGCAGCCAAAATATGCCAAAATAAAGAAAACATTTTTTCCAAAAAAAATTAAAAAAAAAAAAAAAAGTAATTTTTTGTCCAATTTATAGTTTCTCAAAAATCTTATTTTTCCGAAGTATTTTTTTTTAAATGTCAATCGTTTTTAGAAAAATAATAATTTTTGGTACGGGAAGTTCCAGCAATTTGCCTTAAGGCACGATGCCTTAATTGCCTTAAGACAGAATTCCACTTACAGCTAGTTTTTTTCCAAAATCAATTATTTTGTTAAAACAAGCTGAAAGTTCTTTGAATCATTTAAATTGGACGCTTAGTTCTCTCAAAAACTGCCATTTTTTGCACATTTAGCTCCGTATCTCCGAAATGGCGCGACCTGTCTTTGCCAAAAACTAATCACCTCTTTTCCCAATCATTACTAATTGAATGTTTTTTAGATCATTCAAATCGGATGCTCCGTTCTCTCAAAAACTCGATTTCTATTTTCTGCACTCTTTGCTCCGTATCTCCGTAACGGCTGGACCTGCCTTTGCCAAAACCTAATCAGCTCTTCTCCCTATCAATAGGAATCGAATGTTTTTTGAACCATTCAAATCGGTTGATCCGTGCGCCCGAAAACGTGACTGGAAATTTGTATCCATACATACATACACACATACACACACACACACATCCACTTTTTCTGCGGTATGCCAAAGTGTTCAGAAACCTTCAAAACGTCGAGAAATGCAAAAATTTTCAATTTTAATTTTTGGACAATTACAATAACTTACTCTAGGGGAAGTTAATAATGTTTGTAGTATTAAAAAAATTATAATATTAATTAAACTATATAATGTCTGTCATAAATATGTTCTATAAAAGGCCTATAAATGTTAACATAAACACAAATATCTTAACAAAAACAATAATTTATTGGTTTTGATAAAAATATCATAAAAATATGAATACAATAAAAGCATATAATTCATTATCTTAAATATAATTTTTAATACTTGTAACAATATCAAGACAAACTTTTCTTGTATTGATTTTCACAAGATAAATTTGAAAAAGGATAAATTATTCGAGCAATAATTATTATAATGTGTGATGCATTATAATGAATATTAATTTCAAAAGAAGATCTTAAAACAAACATTATACATATAGTTATATTTAAAAGAATATATTAATTTCATGAAAATTTCATTTCTGAAAAGCTATTTTATAAAATAAAGCAAATTATTTAGTTATATAAAGTTATACTAAGTTATATAAAAATATTAAAGCACAGCGAATACAAATTTATCATTATACTGCCATCTGCATAGCAATTTTAGGATGTGGATCATATCCAACAATTTTAAAATCTTCAAGCTTAAAATCTTCCAAACTCTCAACCTTCCGTTCAATGTACAACTTAGGAAACGCCCTCGGTGTCCGTTCCAACTGCACCTTCAAAGGCTCAATATGATTCAAATACACATGACTATCGCCCAAAGTATGAACAAAATCCCCCGGCTTCAAACCTGTCACATGTGCAATCATATATGTCAACAAAGCATAACTTGCAATATTAAACGGCACTCCTAAACCCATATCTGCAGATCTTTGGTATAACTGACAACTTAGTTCACCATCGAACACATAGAATTGTGCTAAGCAGTGACAAGGTGGTAAAGCCATTATTGGTAAGTCTTTAGGGTTCCATGCACACATGATAATACGCCTGTCATCAGGGTTAGTACGTATCAAGTTCAGTATATTTTGTAATTGATCCACACCTTGACCGGTGTAGTCATCTTTAAAAGTTTTATACTCAGCTCCGAAATGACGCCATTGGAAGCCGTATACAGGACCCAAGTCACCTACTTCACGATGTGTAAAGCCCAGGGAATCTAAATACTCTCGAGAGCTGTTACCATCCCAGATGTGTATCTTTTTGTCTTTGAGTTCATTGGAATTTGTGCTGCCTCGAATGAACCAAAGGAGCTCTTCCACGACGGCTCTCCAGAATACATTTTTGGTAGTTAGTAAAGGAAATGTATTGTCTCTTAAGGAGTACCTCATTTGTGCCCCGAATATTGACATAGTGCCAACGCCTGTTCTGTCGGACTTCTTGTTGCCTTTTTCTATAATCAGTTTAATGTGGTCTAAGTATTGATATTCTTCATGTCTTGGAGTCTCCTCGGTTTCGTTAGATAAGTTTAGATTGTTTTCTTTATTATCTTCCATTGTTACACTGATTTAGTGATATTAATAAAATATTTTGCGCTCAAAATGCAAATATTGTGCAAACAATAAAAAGCGCGGGATAAATACAAAACTGTCAAGTGTTTAGTGTTGCCAGGTGACGAAATACGTTAACACAAATACAGTGTCATCTGGCAATACTATGGAATTGACAGCAAATTTAACAATCGTAACTGAAATTTTTTCAAATAGGCTTAAAAAATTATTTAAGCTAAGTGTATGTGGCGTTTCACCTTAAGGCAAGTTGCATGAACTCACTAACTAACTAATTTACTATAAACAGTACAAATATCATGGTATATTACATTTAACCTTAGTTTTTTTTCTACTTTCAGTTGAACACATGCGAATACACAGTGGCCAGTTGCCTTTTACCTGTGAGATTTGTGATAAAGGTTTAAGAACTGCTTCTGAATTGAAATATCATGCTATAAGACACTTTTAGTTCTAAAAACTTCAAGTGTGACTTCTGCGACAAGGCTTATGCTCATCCTGCAAATTTGAGGAGCCACAAAAAGGCTGTACATGAGCTTATACCCGACGTGGATTAAAGGTAGGATAATAGTCAATTAATAAAATATTCATATATACGAAACACATAGCATAGTTTATATTATTTATTAGCAAACATAAAAGGTGGTGTAATAATCAACTCACCTAACACTTTTTGGCGTATAATATTCATATTTCTCTCATTTCCAAAGTTTACGTTTGAAATGCATGATGTAAAAATATTTGCAAACAGTTTACGATGTTATTAGGTGCTGATGTCAAGGTATCATCAACAAGCACCAAGTTCCAATGATTACACAGGCCAACAAAGAAAATGGTGCAAAAGATTTTAATGCTGTTTTTAAGTATATTTGGGGCGCTGATTTCAAAAATGACATTGGTTCTATGAGCTTTAGTTTTCAAGATATGATATATATGATATATAAGGAATGAAAGTACAAAATAGTAATACAATTCAGAATGTTATTTTAATGAGATAAGCCTACTCGTACATACAAACTTACAAGACTCATTCGGCCTTAGTTGGGACATTAGTTGACACTGTGAAAAGTTCTTTTCCGTGACGACCTAGAATTGACCTTCTTTGTATCTCAATCTCAATCTTGGCAACTTCTTTGTATCTCAAAAACTAGAGCTGATACAACAAAATGGTTTGCAGATTTGAAATCAGTGCAAAAAATACTATAAGAATCAGCTCTAACATTTGATGCACCAAACAAAAAAAAAATTTGTAGGCCTGTGTTATTCTTGTTGCATAATTGTTCTTCTAGCAATTGCTGTTGTCAAGAAATGTCACTAATATCACCCAAAAAGCCGTAGTTTTGAATTGTATATAATGCACCAATGTGACTTCCATTTATTTACGCAAGTTTCTTTATGAAATTTGACAGAAATATCTAACGACTATGAAATGAGATAGGTATAAGTCATCCTATATTTCAAGTTTAAATTAATTGCATTGAAACTTATGTGTGACTGTTAACTAATAGACTATTCATTATAAATAATATAATATTGTGAGTATAAATGAAGTTGTAAGCTATTTCATATCTTAAATTTAACCTAATTGCACACAATGACTAAATCAAATTCAAAATCGGTTGAGTAGTTTAGGAGTTAACACTAGATAAACATTGTGACAGGCAGTTTATATATGTAAATAATTTTGCATTGACATTTACCTCACATATACAGTAATACCCCGCTTAACGTTGTTTCAACGTAATAGGCAGTTTATATATGTAGTTAATTTTGCATTGACGTTTGCCTAAGGTCTTACACATACCAGTAATACCCCGCTTAACGCTAACGCTGTTTCATCGTAATAGGCAGTTTATATATGTAGATGATTTTGCATTGTTTACCTAAGTTTTTACATATACAGTAATACCTCGCTTAACGCTGTTTCGTTTAGCGCTCTTTTATTTCAACCAAAGCGTTGAAGGAATAAATGTGGAATAAGTCGAAGAAATAATTCAAGAAGCATCCACTACTCTTTCCAATGATGAGCTCAAGAAATTGACTGAACATGAAGGAAACAAAAATGTTGACGGCAGTGATTCAGAGGAAGAGCAAAAAGAACTTTCGATGGTGTTTGTAAAAAGGAGTTTGTCCTTTTACCATAATTGAAATAATGGATCATTGAAAATGATTCGATCAAAAGTAAGGCGTGGTGTTAGAGATGCTCTATCCGTTTATGAGGAACTTTTAACAGAACAATGCAGAAGTAAAAGCAAATGACATTAGATACTTTTGTCACAAAAAGGCACAACACTGGAAACTCGGAAGGCTAACTAAATATTGGTTTAGACTGGCTTAGAATTTTATATGTTTTTTCAAGAATATTCGTTTTGTGGTATTAATTTGGGCTTTAAGAAATAAATGTTTTATTTTATTTTTATTAAAAAAAAACATACTGTTTAAATTTAATATCTAACCAGTGTCCTAGTTATCTTCTACTAACCCGAATAGTTCCATGTAAAGATAGCCTCGCTTAGCGTTGTTTCGCATTACGTTCTACTTTGATAGAACGTTAAGCGAGGTATTACTGTACTATTTTGTTTAAAAGTTATATAATTCAGTCCAATTATCAACGAATTAATAGCTATTCACACAGTAAACTATTCGAACTCTGTGATGATAGGTGCAATGGAACACGAACAAACTTTTACTTAGCAATCTTAGCAACAATGAATATATTTCTTACTATACAATTAAGTATTTATATCTCTTACAATAATCATATTTGATTCCTTATAATTACTTGTTTACATCTATTTATTGATTCAAATGTTCATTCAAATATATTTGAACTGCCTTATTTTGACTCTGTTTCAAAACTTTCATAACACCTTGGTAAACTTCCATATTATTTTTCGATTTTTTGAGCAGTTGAATTGCTCCAAGTTGGTGATAAGGAGCAGGATCACCTTCGACAAGTTTTAGGGCGGCTTGCAAACAATATTTGTCACTATTTTCTGATTCATGTGAGCTCAAAAAGGTAGACAGAGCTGTTGTTAAATGTGATAGAACATCGGTGCCATATTGTTCTATTTCGACGTCGATGAAATTTGTTTTTATTTTACCAATAAATTCATTTGCGTCCTCGGATTGCAAATATAAATGTGTAAGTTTTAATTCCAAGTAATTGCTGTAGATTTGTGTTGGTTCGAATATAGACAGAATTTCTGTTAGTCCTTTTTCGAAACTTTGTAAATTATCAGACTGTTGTTTGTTCAAAACCGCACTTTGACATAAAGTGGTGATGAAGTCGAATATCATTACTCTGGATGGATACTCTAAAGGATTTTTTGGTTTGGTTTCCACCAATTTTCATCCACGTACTGTTTTAAAATATCCTTAAACTGTTTCATTTTTTTGTTTAAAAAAACAAATTTAGCTTCTACAATATACACTGTCATTAACGTGATGAAAGAACTTTGCACTTGACGTGAGTAAGACGTGTTGAAACACCGTGGGAGTAATTTGTTTATAAAATTTTCGTCTAAATCGTTAATATTCTTCGTTACGCGTTGCAGAATTTTAGACTTCTCATCATCCAAATTGATTTTATCCTGCGACTCCAAATTGTTGACGGTCTCCCAACAAAGTTCAATATGTTCCTTTAAATAATCCTTGTCGACTTGATCGAAACTCAGAAGCATGGTGAATATATCTTTATCCTTGGTCGTCTAAAAATATAGATTTCAACAAATTCCATATTTCCATATTTCCATATCGGGATCACTTGCAAACCAATTAAAAACAGACGTTATTAAAACATTACGGATAGAAGGATGCTTCTCACTGTCCCAGAGTTGTTTCAGCATTTTCAAAACCACATTTTTAGTACCGATGGCATTGATGAGTCTTATTATATGTTTCTTAGCCGACACAGGTTGATCAAAGTTGTCGTTGAGGAATTTCAAAGCTTTTGTTTGATTTGTTTTGAAGCACACACTTGTCAATGATCCTAAGGTCAATTTTAGAAAGTCTCCTCTGCAGAATATTCGAAGAGCTTCAAAAGTTTCTTCAGGTCCTGGGTATCTAGACAAACTGGCACCGATTGCTTGCTGTATCGAATATGTGTACTCATCTTTGGTTTTTTACATCAATTTTCTTCTCAATTGGATAAAATGGTTTGGCAAGTTCGTAGAACGTTTGTGAGTTGACTATATGTGATAAAACTTTTAAGGCGTTTGATCTAATCTTAGGCTCTTCAGCGTTTTTAAATTTATCCAAACAAGCTTGCAAAATTCTATCACGCAACTCAGGTATGTAAATAAATTTTCTATTCTTGACATTCGTTATAAACATATTTATATAATATCGTTCCAAGCCTTTATCAATAATGCTTTCTAAACATTCAAAAATATCTTCAGGCTTTTTAATATATTTATGCAAATCATATATACTGATATCAACCTTTCGCGGAATTATATTTTTAAAATATTCTAAAGCTTCATCATCGTTCGTCATACCGCATCGAATTGAATCAATATCAAATTCCTCTTTGTCTTCGACAAGTTTTTTGATATGATCAACCACCCATTGGTACTTTATGACAGTCATTTTATCTTGGGATGCTTTTGATTGAATTCACCGATGGAATATATCAAATTTTGTACTTCACTAGTTGCATTAAAGTCTTTGATAGTGGGCAACATGTTGGCAATGTGATCGATGCATGTTTTTTCATATTCAGCATTGTCTTGCAGAATGTTGTAGCGATAGAAGTAAGTAGCTTTAATATATTTGAGCAGATATCCAATGTATTCGTCGATGGTTAAATTATTTTTCAAATTGTAACGTAAACGTTCCTCGATGACTTTTTTTGCCCATTCGCCACGGGACATGTACCTCCATTCATCTCCGATGTTTATAACACTTATGATTTCGTCCAAGCAATTCCACACGTCGATTTGAAATTTCTGAATGTCGAAACATTGGCAAGTCTCCTTCAACACTTTGTTTTTGAACTTGGAATCTTCGTTTCTGTGTCTTTCGTTTATGTACTTCAACACTTGGACAAGAGCCTGATGGTCGTCGTTTTGTCCACAACATCTGATCATGTACTGGACGAATCGTAGACGTTCATTGCCATCGTTGGTGATGTAAATGAACTCCTTGAATTTAGGAATTGCAATTGCAGGTTTCAAGTAACAATACCACTTTTCCCATTCGTCTTCGTACTTTGTCATATTGTCAATCTTAGCAGCAGCACACTTAGCCTTCAAGTCCACAGGTAAAGATTTCATCAGCAACTCGGTTATCATATCATCGTTATCCAAAACATCTCGTTTGTACTTGGTTTTGTAAACATCAAACAAAAATTGTGCGGTGTTCTTCTTAACAAGTATCAACAACTTATGCATATCACCTTGGTTATTGAAATCTTCAACAAAATCTTCCTCACGTTCTGGACAAAGCCCTAGATAAAACTGACGATATTCCGAATACTTCATACTTGCATGTGTCTGTCGTGGATGCAAAATGTGTAAATAGTGTTTGGGTTTATCCAAAACGTACTGTTTATTTGTTTGCAACAATTTTTTAGTCGTCAAAGCACCAAACTGATCAGGCTTCAACACATCAGACTTGTGGTACATTTCGAAGAACACATCAGGCTGATTCCATGCCAACTTCTTGATGACACTTTTGTAATCATTGACACTATTGCACGATGTTTTGCTTTGCAGTAGGTATTGTAAAAACTTTACAACAATTTCTGGACGTGCATGATACAGTTTTAACAAAAACTTCTCAGTGACTTTAACATTGTCTTCGGTGATCAATTTGGTGATGCAATCATCACTGCACTTGGGCAGAATATAAAAAGCCCATTTTAAATTGTATTGGGCGCGTAGAATCACAAAAAATGCATCCAACTCGTTTTGATCATAATACTCGGATACAAGGTACAGAAATTTGATTCTCAAACTTGTAGAAATATTAGGGAAAACTTGGTTTAATATTTCATCAAATGTTAGCTTGTGTTTTGTGAAGAACCATCGAGCATCCTTGAACATCAATTGGATCAACTCGTTGTCTTCGGATTGTAGTTTTTGCAAAAATACACTTTTGACTTCGAATGTGGTCAATAGTTTTGCCCATAATTTTTTCTCTAAATTGTCTTTGGGTTGGAAGGAATTTAGAATTGTGGTTTTTTGTTGAGCATCATAGGTTGTGTTGGAGACTTCTTTGGTGATTTGGTTTATTAATTTGTATCTGTCGCCTAAGGATTTGCCATCGAGTTGGTGAATGGAATTTAAGATGTCCATGGTCAACTAGAAAAGAACATAAATTCATTATGAATATCATAAATAGTAAACAATTTGTATAATAAATATAAAATATATTATAAATTTGTACAAAATTCAATACTTCAAAATCGACATCAAAACCAGATATTTTATCCACCAAGTGTATAATTAATAATTTCCCAAACAATAACAAGTTTGTTTCACGAAAAGATCCAATTTGCTATATGTATGCTTTCTCGACGTTCCAAGTCATTCTGAATTGTTTGAGACCAAA